TCTAAGGACTGTTTTCTTCTGAAGATTAATTATTTGCCAATAAATAGGCAGATCACCATTTCTCCTTTAGATAGATAATATATGACTACAAACCTTGTCATTTAGGTCCAGAAAGATCACCCAAGCTAGTAGCATTTTAAGGTAGAGAACTAGATATTCTGTCATTGCCTGTGGTTTGCTGCTCTTGTCAAGAGAATTGAGTTTGGACCTTCACTGCCATGTGACACTTTCACATATGGGGTAGAGACAGCTGGACTGAGGATTGTAGAAAGGTCTTGCCTTCTCCATATCTCCTCTGCATCCCTGCCCTGTGCATCCTAGGAACACACATTCAAGAGACGAGATCATGAGGCCTGCCAGGTAGGCTTGTGAACCATCTTTACAGATGCTGGTTTAGTGTCTTCTGGAACCAAGTCTTTTATTTTTTCTGAACTGGTTTCATATAATATTTCTTTCTATAATATTCTGTTCAATTTTTATCTTACTATGGAACCCTTCCAAGGGCAGACATTAAAGAAAGGTATTAAAATAACAGGGGCAACAAATTGCAAGACATACTTGTGGTATAGTACATTCCATGAATTACAGAATAAAAACACAACATCCATGTTCTGTCTCTAATTAATATTAATACATGACATTTGCCCAGCACATTTTATTTTATAAAGCTCTCACATCTCAGATAATCCAGTGAGTTAGGACAGTGGAATCTGCCGAGAACTTTACCCTTTGCAAGGGCTCTTTGTATGTTATTTCACAAAACCCTTAAAGTGGCGCCAGTTACTTGGGAATCTGGGGCTGGGACATACATCTTTGGGTACCAAGTGTGGTGCTGTGCTTACCTCACCAAAGCCTCCTCTCTTCATTTCCACTGTTGCTGATCTATTTTCTATTTTCCTGCATCTCACCTCCCTAGGCTGCCAAAGTAAATGCAAAACAAGCAAGAGAAATCTCAGTTTGTGATTTCTGAAGGGCATTTTTAAATGACAGATTTTATGTGGCACTGTTGTAAATGTTCTAAGAGTAGGAGCCCTTCTGTCAGTGTATACGTTATAGAATCCATAGTATAGAATCTCTTGAGCTTAATGCTGCATGAGAACAATGAGGGTTCCTAGTCTATTTCACTGGTCCTTGGTTCTCAGACTTTTAAGATGATAGAGATCCTTTTATTAAGCCAAAAGACCCTATGTATTAATTCTTTCTTTTCCCTACTTTGCGGGGGTAGGGGCAGTTAGGAGGCTTTGGACAAGTAATCCATATTGTAGTTGCATTAAATTACTCGATATCTGGTTTTGTGCTTATTAAAGTTGATTGACATCCTCAAAGGAAATGGGTTTTTT